AAACGACGTGGCGGAGGAGGACGGCGGGCGCTCTTTCATATTTACGCGCAGCGGCACAGCTAATGAATGGTCGCTCGGCCCTCTATCCTATCAATGACATCTGCCGCGCTTTCGGGCTCAGCGTCGTCCGATAAACGAGCTTTACGAGGCTCGACTCCGCCTCGCTCGATTCTTTTCCCTTCGCGCCGAGCCGCGCGGGGCTTTCGTATAATCGGGCAAATAATGAAAAGGTGAGAGCCAGTTTCGCCTACGTAAATATATTCCGCGTCCTTGGCGCGGCCAACGCGGACGGGGATTTACAGAGCGGGCAGCTCGTTACGCCCGTTTTGCCGAGCGCGATTTCTTTCCCCTACCCTTTCCTTCGTTTCTGATGGCAAATGTGTAATGCAAGGGCTTTCGCTGAGCCTTTACTCGCGCGGCACCACCCAGCACCAGCACCGCGGGCTTTTACGTTTTTAATCTTTCTCGTCGGCGAGAAACGTGCCAGGCGCTTATTTATCGAACGACGAGAATGGCTCTTTCTCTCGTTGCTTGCTTCTTTTCCTAAAAAAAAAAGCTCTGAGTGTATTAAAACAACTCGCAGATCTGGACCGACACTTTCGGATGAAACGCTACGATCGTGGAAATGGCAAAACCAATTTTATTCGATAAACAAATGGATTTTCGTTCTGCCCGTACGTTTGATACTCTCATAGTTGCAACCGATGAATTTATATTAAATACGAAAGTCTTCAATTTCGGCCCTTGGTCGCAATGAGCCTGTAAGACAGTATACCGATCGATGTTGACCAGCCAATTAGTTCTTGGTCATTTCTTCCGGCCACGAGCTGGCCAGTTATGATGAACATCGACGGGCGCCGAGCACACGCGAAATTCATGGAAAATGGTGAGGCCGTGGCATCTGGACAAACGTAACCACTCGATTGTTGGTTTGCGTTTTGTTTTCTTGTTGTTTGCAACAACTATTTCGAAACACAGCGGATATTGAATCTAATTTGGCTCAACCAATCGCTGTTACGTAAACGTGTAATCTCCGTTATGGGCCAACCTAAAATCGGTGAAACAGCAATCGACCGACCGTTTCAAAAATTGCGTATTCGAAACGTCAAACGTGCGTACTTTTTATGTCTACTTTTTTAGCGGAATTTATAGTCCGTTGGCACTGGGTAAACTGACCGATGGATGCAGAACTTGTCTAGTTGTGGTCAAGAGTCGTCGAAGTGTTCTCACTGGTAAAATTGCAACTCGATGCAATAAACGCGGATATTTACAACGTGCACGAAACGATTAAGCAAAGAAAACGGGCAGACCAGCGGACGGTACAAAGTTAATATAGAAACCGGCGAAAATGAGAATGTTAGCTGTTCATAAAAGCGCAAAGTAATGAAAAGTGGGTATATCGATAAAAGTGCTCTTCTCTCTCGCTCTTTCTGGCGGGCGCGCGTCTTATAAATCGAGAGCGCCGTCGCCGCAAGAATCCAGCGAGCGAGAAATAGCTGCGCGGCGCGGGCGCGCGCAGCAGCGCAAATAATAGAAACTTTTAGTGAGCGATAAAAATCTATTTTGCCCCGAGGCATTTTCTCCCTCGCTCTCGGTTTGTCGGCAACAAGTAGCTACGCGCGAAATTTCCGCGGCGAGGGAAACTTGGCGCGACTATGCGTTCGTTCGTTCGCGCGCGGCGACTTACTCGAAAGATCGCGCAATCCCGTTTATCGTCCTCGTAAATCCGTGAATATACACTCTCTCTTTCTCTCCCTCGTCTGCGCGGCCTTTGGCTTGCTTTAATCTCTTTCCGTTTTACGAGGCGCGTTTTACGACGGACACACCGCGCGCCGCGCGCCAACGCCTGCACCTACATCACTGGCGAACTTGCGGCTTTTCGGACGTTCGCCGCAAAAACTGCGCCGCCGCCGCCGCCGCCGCCGCCGCCGCCTCGCAGCTTTCGGGAAATTGCCGTCGCTGTTGCTGCGCCACCAAACTCGCAATGACCAAGACCACCTCGCGCGGTATCAGCGACGGAGGAGAGCTGCGGCTCTGCTTTGCCATTAACCTTTCTTTTGTTGCTCCGCGGCCGCATTCTCTGCCGACACGGCGCTTCGCCGCATTTTTTTCCGCCGATCATCAGAGATGAGATTTCTTTGAAAGCGACCGCGCCGCGATGTTTTTCGGCGATGCGAGCGCAGAGAGAAACGGCGACGACGATCGATGCAAGCCCCGAGCAGCGCGGCTCTCTCTCTCTCTCTCTCTCTCTCTCTCTCTCAAGGAAGTAAAGCTTGGCGTTGACACGGTGACACGAGGAAAGTTACGGCGATGCCCGTCGCGGAGGTAAAGGAAAAGTAAAGCCGGACGTCCTGTGCCCCGCGAGCGCGCGCTCGCAGCGTGAAGAGCCATTTCACGAGACGCCACGGGACGTCTCCGTCGTCCGCGTCGTCGGGGGTCGCACGCACGCACGCACGCACGCACGCACACACGCGCGCTCGGACGGCGAGCCTCGCGTGGGAGGAGAGGGCAAGACGGCGCTCGGACATAATACATATCGGCGGCGCGTCGACTCGTGGAAAGGACGCTATCTAGCGTCCGCTCAATAACTGGACGCTTCCTCCTTCTACGATGCGGACCTTTGCGCCATCGGACTACTATCTCTCTCTGTCCCTTTTCTTCGCGCCTTTATTTTCTCGTTTTACGCCTAAGCCATGCCTCCTTTCCTTTCTCTTCCCCTCTCGCTCGCTTCTTTTTTTTATAACACGCTTTGTTTCGTGGCCTTTGTTCTCCAATTTTAAGCTCCCACCGCGTATTCGTTATATTGCGCCGACGACAACGCGTTCGATCGACCGAGCGTTGGCACAGCAATCAACATTGCCACTTTATCGCCCTTCTCTCCGTTTACGGAACAAAAAATTCGCTCAATAACCCAATCCTCGGACGACAGGCCTTTTGATCCGAGTATATGCGCATCGTTTAGCATTCTGAAAAAGAGAAAAAAGCTGGCCTCCCGCCTTGACCGGCGTTAAACCGAGCTTTCGTCCTGCTCTTTTTGCTCGGTCGCGTCCCTTCTATTCGTCGCCGAAAAAGAAAGAAGGGCCACGCGATATACGGCCAAAGCCCCCCTGTAACGTCGTGTATATCTCAGGGCTGCGCCGCTGTCCGCCGCAAGGAGAAGAAGATTGGCACTGGCTTCCCATTATCCTAGCTGGACATGCAAACGTTGAATTTCCCATTTTCGCGCTCCCTCGCGCGCCGTTCCACTCCCCGGTTGGAACCTACGGCCTCCGTGCAGAAACCAGGCGTACGCGGCGAATGTTCGTTGTCCGACGCAAGCTCGCGATCGTTGGATCGACACTAGGCGAGCTTGACAGAAGCCGAACGGAAGACGAAAATCTGCGATCGCAGCCGAACTCGTGGCTTTACAATTAACAGGGTAGCGCGCTGCTTGATACGAAACGAAGGCCAAACCAAACTCACTCGCGGCGACGATCGGACGCGCGTGCCCCACTGAATATCTCCAAAGCCATAATTGATCGCGCGGTGCTCGCGGCGTTCGTTTGTGTGTCATGTCGAGCGCCAAATTCGAAAACGAGCCCAGAAGAAGAAAGAAAAGTTACGTCGAGATAGAGGCGAATGGGTCCTCGAGATATTTAATCCCAGACGTGCGAGCGCGAGCGGGGCTGATCGTTTATTGGCTCGATTCACTCGACTTGAGAAATAAGTTTCGGAAATAAGTTTCGGAAGCGCGAGCGAAAGCGAGGAGGAATCGCGTTAGACCATCTTCGCGCCTCGTTATCCTTTATTTCGGGAGAGAGAGAGAGAGAGAGAGAGAGCCGAGGGACGATGGATGCGAGGAGAATGGAGCCAGATCGCAATCAACGTTATTGCCTCCGCTTTAAAGTCCCTGAGAGCTGCACTGTCTAACTGTGCCCCCTTTCGGCGTTCCGTGCCCATCACTACGGTTTTCACCATTTCCACGGTACCTTTATTTGCGATCGATGGTTCATTATTACCAAGATTAACTCTTGCAATTTACAGCTTGCTGCACAATTACGTATGAGGCTGCGAGAAATACTCGGCGCTCGAGGTAGAATTTGCGCAGAATCGGGAAGCAAATCGCGCCCCGAAACGTTGTCGGCGTGCATCGCTGAAAAAGAAGTGAAATATTTGGGTGAGGAGAGGGACAGGCAGAGAGCGTGACGCGGGATACCGGCATTGCAAAAGACGATTGGTCGGCGTCAAAGGCGTGAGTACATCGGCATCCGACGATAAAATTCTTTTGTCAAGTCGGACTGAATGAGAAAGGGATAGGTGGGGCAGAGCAATGAGATCATCGGCGAGCAAGTTTATAGGCGAAGGGAGTGGAGAGCAACAGAGAGAGAAAGAGAGAGAGAGAGAGAGAGGGAGAGAGGGAGAGAGAGAGAGAGAGAGAGAAGCTGGACGACGAGGCTTGGGTTATTGCTTCGGTGCGGTTATGGCGTCGTCTGTGTCGCCTGCTGAATGGGCGCCTCTGCTACTGCTGCTGCTGCCCCGGCACGACGGGCAATATCGCGCGCAAGCAAGTGAGAGAGAGTGAGAGAGAGCGGCGCGGTCACGTAGACTGACCTCAGCGCCGAGCAATAACGAGCCCGCCAAGCCAACGCCAAGGGATGTCAAACCCCGCGCGGCTCCTCTCCTCTCCTCCACGCGCCGTCTCTCGCCACCGCTATTCTCTGAGCCGGCAAACCCACTCGCTCCTCTTCCTTTTCCTTCGACTTACTTATTTTTTTCGACATCACCGTCGTCACGAGCTTTTTGTTTCTCAAATACGTTAGTTGTTCGGCATCGAGTTGGATGCGAAGCTGTGCGTATGAAATGTCAACGGGAGCCGGAAACTCGCGAGCGCGCGACGAAAGGCTCATCGGCGATAAATTCATAATAAAAAGCGACGTTGCAGAGTATATACGGCGTATCCGGTCAGTGTGCCATCGGATAATCCTCGTTCTCGGGAGCCAAAAGGCAGAGCTTTCACTCACCGTACATCTTGCCCTCGTCGGAAAGGATGATTTTGCGCCGACCGCACGGTGGATATATGGTGAGTGCCTCCTGGAAGCTCTGCTCGATATCCGGCGACCACACGCCCTCGGCGTCCGCCGCCGACAGATCCTTCTCGTCCTGTTCAGTCGCAATACGGAGAGCAAGTGACTCGTTAATTATCCAACTGGCGCCAATGGCTCTTGGTGTCGTTCGATACTCACATCGCTGATGTCGCCAACGTCGAGGTTTTTGGTATCCGAGCCGGTGCCGTTGGCGTCGGGCGGCGGCCCGGAACTTGCGGGGGTCCACGGTGAGGAAATGGTGTCGGCTGCAGCCACCGCACTGCCTGCAATCACAAAGAACAGTAGCAATTGAGAAATACGCCGTTTGCGAGCAAGCATTCGAATTGCAACGGAGCCGAGGAGGCGGCAGCCAATAAAAGCTACGTCGCGGCCAAGTGCCCGGGAACGCTGGAGAGCGCCTAACCTAGTAAATCCAAGCCGGGGAAAAATGCAGGAAAGGGAGGCTGGGTCGCTCGCTCGCGTCGCTCATTTGACGCGCACGCACGTGCCACGCGGCTCCGTTAGCCGAGTTTATCTCTCGGCTCGAAGCTCGGAGCTCTCGCGGAATGAAGAGATAGAGAGAGAGAGAGAGAGAGAGAGAGGAGAGAGAGAGAGAGAGAGAGAGAGAGAGAGAGAGAGAGAGAGAGAGAGAGAGAGAGGGGGAGAGAGAGCAAGAGACTGACTAAGGTAGGTCGTGAAATTTCGTGGAATCCTGAGACTCCGGAGGATTGCCGACGCAGGCACGCAGCGAGGCAGGCGGAGAGCGGAACGCGGGGGGTGGTGGCTGCTGCCGCTGCTGCTGGATGCTCAGACGACGTCATTTTCGCGAATTGCCGTGCTGCACCGCCGCAGCCGCGATTTCCACGGCTCGGCACAGGGACGCGAGCTAGAGGCCGGAACTGGCTTCGGTTCTGCCTACCCGCTCCAACTTTTGCGCCGAGGCGCGTCTTATTTTCGTTTGAGAGAAGCGCTACTTGTTGACGGTGGCTATAGCTCACTGGGTTCCCGGCATTCCGCTCGCGCTTTTTGCAGATTTGCTTATCAAGAGCGAGCGAGCTCCAAGTGAAAGAAAAAAAGGAGTATGCATCGAAAAGAAGAAAGGCAGCGCGAACAACGGGCGAACAACGGGCGACGGGACGTATGCGGGTCGCGCGACAAAAAGGAACAACGAGAGCGGCTGGACCCTCGAAGAGTTCGTCAAAGAAGCGTCGACGTGACAAACGGCAACTCTTCATTAGACCGAGCTCGGTCAATTAATGAGGTTGACTCGGTCGCGGCGCGCGCGCACACAAGGAACTAGCGAGAAGAAAGAGAGCGCGGCAGAGCGAGCGAGAGCGAGAGGGAGAGAGTTGGGAGCACGCGCATTGGCGGAGCAACAAGTGGCTGGCTGATATCGCGTATCAGAGTCAGTGGCTCCGCCCTCGCGCCTCTGGAGGGGTGGGACATCCGCGCGACTCGGGCGCGCCTCCCTGTCCTCTCTCTCTCTCTCTCTCTCTCTCTCTCTCTCTCTCTCTCTCTCTCTCTCTCTCTCTCTCTCTCTCTCTCGACGCGCCGACAGAGTCGTATTCTGCTGCCCTGTTACGCGTACCTGCTGTGCGCCACCGGCAGGCTGCAGCGGCGAGCAGCTCTCGCTCTATTTGCTCGGCATTTTTGAGGCCAACGGGGCAAATTAGTCCCGAAGGAATTCGCGCTCGTCCGCTGGATTCCGTGCGCCGTGCGCCGCATCGCCGCGTGCTCGCCGATTTTTCAAACTACATATCCGCTAGCTCTTTGTTTGTAGCGCCTGGCTACTGTCTGCCCTGCAAGCTCGCCGTTTGTTCTATCGATTTTCACCGTGCGGTTTCGACCTGCGCTTTTACGTTTATTTGTTCTTCCCTTGTTTCCCTTTGCTGACCTTGCGGATCACGCGAGATACCGACGACGTACGTGCCGATTAATGCGCGGTTCATTTCATAGTCGGTTTGGAATGCTTAATTACAGAAGAGGGTTAGCTCATCGACTGAAATTAAAAAGAAGAAAATCCATAATCCAAGTTGGCGTTGCAGTTCGTGATCTCCGTTAATTATGGTGCCAGATAAGCGGGACGCCGAGGAGTGGGAGGGTGCGCTGAATTAGTATTCCGTACAGTTGACCACAAAAAGTTCAATTGGCAAAATACCTCAAAATAGCGGCGAATGCGCGCGTCGGGGTGGCGGTGAATCCCGACATCGCGAATTCAGCAGGAAGGCACCTGCGGCAAGTATGGAACAGCAAAACGTTGCGGCGAGCGCGTGGAAACCGCAGGGCGAAAATGAGATGGGCTTTGCCACCAAGCAAAAGCAGGAGAGGCTTTAATAGAGACTGCGACGTTGTACACGTGCGCGCACATAGATCATGTCGTGCGCGCTGGACAACGGCGAGCTTGAAAACGCGCGGATGAAGGATGTGCGATAGCAAGGGGGCAAGGGGGCAAGGGGGAGGGGGAGGCCGCAGCGAATACCGGGCATACCGTCGGACTTCTCTCCTGAGAGTGTCCCAAGGCTATATGCGACGCAGATGCGTGCGACTCGGAACGGGGAATGAAGGGGGTGGCGCTGGCCGTACAATTGAGGACGACTCTCTCTCTCTCTCTCTCTTCCTCTCCCTCCCGAGGGCCGTCGACAACGACGCCGACTCGCATTCTTCAGTTTCTCGTATTTTCGACCCCTCGCGCGCACGCGAGCTATACAACTCGCCCGATTATTTCGCATGTCCACTTTTTCCGAATACTTTATGCGTCACGATTCTTAATCACGCGTCCTCGTCCCTTCTTTTCTTCTTCCACGCCAGTACTTTTCCTTCCAATTCCAAGCCACACGGTAAATTGCGGCGAAAGGACCGAGTCGCTTTGAAATGTACGTACGCCGAAACAGCTCACTTGTTTGCTCCTTCTCTCGCAGTTCTGACAAATCGGAAGCGACGCGCGGAGCAACGCTAATCCGTCGACCGCGAGAGCGCCCCCCCCTCTCGCGCGCGCCCATACGCGCGTCATAATAGGATAGCTGTAAATTTTCGGCATAACAATTCTCGCACGGCCAAGGGAGAGCGGGTAAGTGCGGTACGCTATCGCCGCCGCCGCCGACGCCACACACCACCGGCCGAATACTTCGTTCGAGGGAAAGCGATCCGTTTCGCGGTTTAAATCCATGCGCGCTCGTCGACCCCCTCTGACCAGCCGACGCTGCGCACGCTAGTTCACCGCCAAATCGTTATTACACTCATCGGAGAGATGGAGATTCCGGCTGCAACAACATTATTAATTGAGGGACGCGCATACTCGACAAATATTACCCGTTGCTCTTGAAGCTCTCCTCTTCGCGAGATACAATCTACCGTGCAGACTTCATCTCGAGATTCACATCCGGCGAAATAACGCGCGTAGGATGAAAAGTAGCTAACACCGGTAAACATCGTCGTGGCAACAGCACACATCCACAAAGGCACAGTCGTGTGCGAGGGATCACGATGGTATCTAGTGGCGCGTGTGACAGACACACACGTACATGCAGAGGGGTTGAGAGGGAGAGACGGGTGCGTATACATATATAGTAGCTAGCATTGGCAGAGCGAGAGAGAGAGAGAGCAGGGAGCTTTCACTGGAATGCGTCCCGTTTAATATCGCGGAACATTATATATCGTCCTCCTTGTGCCCCTGCCCCACCCCATCTCGTGTATGTGCCTCGACACCACATCACGAATACACACGCTTGCCTACTCCTCGGCACATCTATCCTGCAGTGCCCTCGCTCGTTCTCTGCCCGTATAAGTGAATATTTGCCTGCTAAGAGAATAGCCTCCTCCTGCACGCGCCTGTGTGTACGTGTCACGGGAATGGCTGAACTTCATCCTTCTCTTTGTTTTACCATCCCGAAAGCGGATTTTTTTTTTCACGTGCGCACTCTCGTCAATTCAATGCGATACGAATCGGGATGAAATTAACTAGTTGTGCGCTTGCAGTAATGAGAAGAGGTCTATTGAAGTAAACTGCTACTAAGCCGCCCGGAACGTCATTAAACTACTTGGATACGTGCGCGACGAGTAGACGCTCATCAAAAGTCAAAGCGTACAATACGTACACATAACCTTAATTTCGCGCACTGCCGCCCTGTCGGTATAACGGACGGAAAAGAAAGTCAGTGAAAACCAGGCGCGCGAGCGTGCATTTTACTCGATTAAACTCGAGTGGGGGAGGGGGGGGGGAAGAACTCTATGCGACGCATAGAAAGGGGCGGGACAAAAAAAATAGAAGGGGGAGCAAACAAAATCATCTCCATTCCGAGCGACGAAACTTGTCTCTAATGAATTTCTCGCGCACGACAGGTTTGTATAATGCGGGGGTGAGGGTATGAAAGAGGCAAAGAGGGCGATGAATGCGCGCGAGCTTCGCGGGTTAATTTCACGTCGCGCCACTACGAATTTCGTTGCGCTTTCAAAAGTTCAATTAATCCCGCGTCGCTTCTTCTTTTCTAATTGTGAAACGCCAACCGCTGATTATCTCGACTCTTTTCAAAACACACGGCTACGTGAAAAGAGAGAGAGAGAGAGAGAGAGAGAGAGGAGAGAGACGGATCGTGATGCGCGCAATTAGCGAAGTCATTGCCTGTTATTCGGAAATTGAATCGAAGAAAAGGGACAGTATAAACAGTGGCTCGCTTCTTTTGATTTGACAGCTTGCGTTGTTGCATCGAATTATCCAGGTATATGTAGAGCAATTAGAGCGCAAGTCTCTCTTTCTTCTCGGTAACGAGGCAGCTCATCTGTGTTAGTTGCTCGCATCAAAAGGAAAGAGAGAGAGAGAGAGGTTAGTTCACTCGAGAGAAATCTTAAAAGGTCGTTATGTGCGTGAATGGATTGCGGTGTAATTACTCGGTTAATGATACTGCCATAGTACATCATCTCGTTATATAGGTGTGTTTGTATAAAGTTTGCGGTTTCAGGAGCCACATGAACAACGCTGCGGTGTTTTATGCAAACTTTAATTTCTTTTCAATCTGCGTTTTGTTTTTATCTCCGCAGCACAAAGAAACCATATGCTTCTTTCTCGTCGCTTAACAAGCTAGAGGACGTTTTATGCGCCGGCAATATTGCAAAGAAAGTAATTAACGGAGCGAAATAGACGTCGTCAACCGCACATATTTCAATCACGAGTAATTATTAGTCGTTATATATATATCTCTCTCTCTCCCTCTCTCTCCCTCTCCCTCTTCTACCTTTGACAATACGCAGGGGAAAGATGCCCGCGATTGATTCGTTGCAATCTTAATTC